GAGTGGGGAGAAGAACAGGTGGATATACTGAAATACACTGCTAAGGGGAGGAGTGGGGAGACAGGTCTGCCACACCATGTGGGTCACCTCTCTGGCCAGGGATCAAACTTGTGCTTCAGTGATTTTGGATAGCTTCATAGTGCTGTGCTTTAACCCACTGCACCACTAGAGGGCCTCATCACTGCACTCTTGAACCACATCAGTCACTGTAGTCCTTTGTGCTCTTCCCTCTGCTGCTGAATACTTCAGATTTATAGTATACCTGTGAGTTTTGTCTTTTCTCTGACCCTTTGTTTTCCATATTCCTCCTGATGAAATGATCTGATATTTTTCTTTTTCCTTCTAACTTACTTCACTTAGCATAATTCCTTCCAGCTTCATACATATTGCTACAAATGGCCTCAATTTATCTTTTTTGATCACTGAATATTATTTCAAGGCATACACACACACACACACCACATTTTATTGATTCAGTACTTCGGTCTGGGGGAATTCAAGTTGCTTGCATATCTTATTATTATAAAGTGTTGTGATAAGCATAGGAATGCAGGCTTCCTTTGGAATTAGTGTTTGGTGTATGCTGGATAGATTCTTAGGAGTAGAATCACTGGGTCACATGGTAGGCCCATTTTTAGTATTTTGAGGATCCTCCACACAGCTTTCCATAGTGGCTGGACCAGTTTGCAGTCCCGCTAACAGACTCACAAACACTGTGACACACACACTCATACACACAAACACCACAGTCACATGGTTTTATTCCAGCCAAGACGTTTCTTGTTTAGATTAAGATTTAGAGTATGGTTTATAGTTTTTCCACATCAACCACTTTTTTTTTTTACCTTCAGTGTCTCTCTTCCATAGAACTTATGAACACAACTTAGTGAAAAAGTAAAGGTATGAATAATAACTTAAGAATAAGGTTATTAATAATCCAAAGGACAAGAAAGATGAGTAAGGGCATCCATCTCTCATGTGAGAATTTCGATGATGACTCTAAGGTTGTTTATAGTGCTAATATGAAATACCATTTCTCCACATTTTATGAATATATTTAATGATAAAAATTTAAAGAATTTTTAAATTTGGAAAAGATATGATTTTTATATTTGTTTGCCCTATAATGCAGCAATCTGATTTTAATTCGGTATTGGCAGTAAAAGCCAGTAATAAGCCAAGTATCTATTTGGAGAGTGGATTATATAAAATCATAATTTTAGAAATATGAAGAGTGGCATGTTTTGGACTGTGTAAATATTTGCATTGTTTACATACACAGCAATAAAGCAGATTTATTGCAATATTTATTTACATCATGATACATCATGATATGGTTACATGCAGAGAGTGATAGACAACCTTAGGTTTGATTTACCTGTTTAGTCTGATAACAACACATACATGGTCAAGTGGGACTTCACAACTGAAGTCTCTGGAGAGGGCCGTGCAAGCCCCTTGAACAGATAGGCAATCTTTGAAAGAGGAAGAAAAGTAGACTGGTCTTTTTTTTGTTGACAGTAGAGGGGAGTTAAGGAGAGAGTTCACTTACACAGGTAGGAACTTGACAGGATTGAGTAACTGTCAGATCAAAGGGGAAAACAGGGTTTCTTATTACATTGTCTAGATGTGGGGCATAAAGAAATGGAGGAAGAAAGAGATTTAATGCTGCTAGCAGTCCGACATCAAAAAATGGACTCACACTTCTGGTTTCTGGTCTGGCATGCCAGGACCTTAAAAATGGACCATAACATCCTCAGAGGAAAAAGGAATCAAACTTAAAATCAACAACAACCATCAGAGAATTGGTGCAATTCTGTGATGTAAACCAGTGTCTCCAAAATTGGAGACAAGAAAAGCAATCATTTTGAAATATGTGCAGTATTTTCTGTCCTATGCAAGGCTTATCCTAAAACTGTTTCACGAGAGCTGACTGATCTGAATTTTACCAGTGCCTGCCTGATGAATGGGGAGGGAGAGTTTAATTTCTTTCTAGGACTTTCTGCCCCATGTAAGTGTGGGGTGGGGGGTTAAAAAACAATTGTAAGAGTGATAAGGTCCTGCTTCAACTCTCTGACACCAACTAGGTGCCCTACTTGCAATACTTCCACTAACTACCACCAAATCCTGGAGGTTAAGACCTCAGTCTCTGCTATAGACTGCATATTGTGCCCCAAAGCTTTATATGTTGAACAAGCAAGGTGAAGGGAGATTCTGTGGGCATCATATGGTGGATGACCTTATGGTTCCAGCTCAATGTAACAAGGAGGGGATGACTGAGAAGCAGGGTCCATATAGAATCACTCACAAAATCTGTGTGAGAGACTTCAGAATACTTTGAGAAAGGCCTGAAACTAGAACAGCAACTTAGCAGTTTTCACTGACAGACAGGAAGGAGTGCTGGTTGAGGAGAATACAAATTCTGGTAACACACTGAGAGTAAACTTGAGCTGAGATCACAGCTTGCACTCTTGGTTTTGACAAGGGAGACAATTCCATTCTCATCACTGAAGACAATTGCTTCATTCCACCGAGGATGCTAAACTAGTGATGTTGGAAGGTTGTCGGAGGCATTGTAGTCCATCTTTGATGCTGGCTTTGGACAGTGGGTTTCTCAGAATAAAATTCTGTTGTCTCATTGCATGAAACATGGAGTTTTTGTGGGGAGAGGGAGCAACATAGGGGATATGTCCATAATGAGTTGGGTATGAATGAAGTACCATCAGCCAAGAAAGATCCCAAACCTTGGTGTATTTGCCTTTGCTGCCCCTGAGAACTTGTGTGCATGTCAGGACTGACAGCGTAACTGTAGATATGTTGTCATTGTGCTCATACTTGCAGAACTTGACAATGAATGTTTCATTCCCATCTAGCTTCCACAACTTAACAGCACCTGAACTGGAAGTCACTAACATATCTCTGTCCCCACCCGAGAGGTCAATCACCAGACTCAAGACTCCAGACTCAGGCAGTGGAGAAACTTTGATTAGAGACAACATAAAGGCACTTGAAAAACCAAAGGGAGCCAGTCCAGCAGTAGTTACTTGTAGGGGAGGTGACCAGGAGTGCCCCATGAACAAGTACTTCCTCTTCTGGTTCTGCTCAAACCCCAATGCTCCTCCATACAGGAAGGAACTTTAGGGGGAAGGTTCCTTTCTTGGAACATGTCTTAGAGAGGGGCACTATAGAGAGTAGATTTCCTAATACATCTCCATGGTTCCAGTTCCAAACTAGACCCAAAATGGATACCCACTGAGGCGACTTGAATCCTGGAGCAAATCCACAACCTACCCCTCTGGGTGTTTGTCCTTGATAGATGGGTCAATCACTCTACTTTGCCAAATTCATTATTTTTGAATTTAACATTTATCATTAAAACATTTACTATAGATCCCTCCCTGGTAGTGCAGCAGGTTAAAGCACAGCACTAAGCTAAAGTCACTTCAGCATGAGTTCGATTCCCGCCCTGGAAGTGACCCACATGGCGTGACAGACCACTCCTGACCCGCCCGCTGCTCCCCTCAGCAGTGTACTTCATTGACTTGCCTGTTCTGCTCCCCACTCTGCCGTGGGTGAAGTCTCTCACCACTCCTGCACCTCTGGCCTGTACTCCAGATCTGTATGCATAAATAAATAAATCTTAAAAAACAAACAAAAACATTTACTATAAACTCTATACAGCTGGCAGCTGTAAATTTATTCTGATTACAAGATAGACTTGCCTTAAATTTGCTTCTATATGTGGAGTTGATACGATATAGAGGTAAAAATACATATAATTCAGGAGACCTCGATATCAGATTCTGCCTAAATTTAATTGAGTAAATGTGGGTCAGCATAGTACTACAGCATAGTACTGTAGAAGAAAAAGTTTGACGATTGACACTGACTTCAACAACAAGCCCACAGTAATGAAGACAATTGGGTATTGGCTAGAAGAACACACCAACAGGTCAGTGCAACCAAAAAAATTTTCAAAATAGAACAACACAAATCAAAGTTAAGTCAATGGAGAAAGGATGGTCTTTTCAACAACTGGTTCTGGAGCAGCTGGACATCCACATGCAATGAAATGTATCTAGACACTGACCTTACAACTAGGACTAACTAAAACAGGATCACAGACCCTAAAGTAAAACACAAACCTATTAAATATAGCTGAAAACATAGGAGAAAATCTAGGTAACTGTGGGTATGATGTTGAGATTTAAGAGACAAAACCAAAAGAAAGATTCATGAAAGACTGATGAAGTGGACTTCATTAAGGTAAATATTTGTTTTCTAAAGACATTTCCCCCTTAAATTTTATTAATTTGCCAATCATTTACATAAATATCTGTATTGTATAATTTTGGAAGTACACTATTACACCTCCATATATCCACATACTTCCACCAAAGCACCAGTGGTAATACCTTAGTATCTTCCCTATCTTATCTGCTTCTCTTTCCTTCCTCCATTCCATCTGGAGCCTACAAATTGTGTTGTGTTTTGCCATTTTGTTTTCTTTTATTTATATATCACAAATGAGTGAAGCACTCTGGTAGTTATTTCTCACTTTCTGACATTTCACTTAGCATATGCACCTCAAGAGCCATCCATTTTGTTCCAAAAGAAACTATTTCATCTATTTAAATAGCTGAGTAGTATACCATTGAGTATATATTCCGCAATTTTACCTAGTTATCTGATATGCATTACATTTGGTTGGTTGGTTCCATGATGTGGCTATAAGGAAATAATGTTACGAACACAGGAATACATATTTCCCATTAGTGTTTTCATATTCATTGGGTTAGTACCTGGAAGTAATATTGCTAGATCATTTGGGATTTTATTTTGGAGGAACTTCTATTTTCCACAGAGGCTGCATCAATTTGCATCATTCACCAACACTTCTTGTTTCCAGTCGTTTTTTTTTTTTTCCCAATCGTTTTTTTTTATGGATCATTTTTCATAGGGATGAGGTGATACCTTGTTTTGGTTTTGATTTGCTTTTCTCTTATAATAAGTGCTTTAAATTTTCTTTTCATGTGCCTGTAGGCCACTTGAGTATTTTCTTTGAAGAAGTGTCTATGTAGGTCTTTTGTCCGTGTTTTGATTAGGTTGTTTTTTTGTTGCTGTTGAGTATTATGAGTTCCTTATATTTTTTGAAAATTAAGCCCTTTATGAACGCGTGATGTGCCGATATCTTCATTCAACCTGTAGGTTGTCTTTTGTTTTTGTGGCTACTTCTTTTGTGGTACACAAGTGTTTTAGTTTGGAGTAGTTACCACTTCTTCATAAGACACTGTTAAGAGAATAAAAAGACAAGAAACAAACTGGAAAAAATATTTGCAAAACACGTATATGATAAAATCTTGTATTCAAGATAATTTCTTTGTTGAATATTTTGTTTCACGTAATGATGTAAAACACAAATGCCGAATTGACAAATGACATATATTCTCTCATATTGACAAATTGACATATATTCTCTCATATTGACAATGCTACCAAGGAACTAGAGGAACCCAGAGGGACTACACTAACCACTCTACAGAGGATACTATCTTAATATTCCAAAAGTTTATTCCAACCTATTCCTTCTTCATTATGCATCTTCATTATGTTTTTTGATGAGATAGAGCCACAGACAGGCAGAGGGGCCCAAGGTTACTTCAACTTTCAGTCAACCTGGTTTGCTGAGTGACAGCTCCCACAAGTAGAACTTAGACAATGACACGGAAGCATTGGGGAGTCTTGCTGGGGTCAGCAGCTGGGAGCAGTAGTGCAATCATGTGGATCATCTTGTTGGGATGGCCTAGAAAAAATTTTAAAAACTTAACAGTAAGAGAAAAAAAGTACAAAATGATGTAAAAATAAACTGTTGTAAAATAAAACAAACAAACAAAAAAACCTTCTAAGACAATGACAGGGAAATCCAGTAAATTTTGGCAGCAAATTTGAAGGCTAAAAAAAATTTTTTTTCATAGTTTCAATTTCCTAGAATATTTGTGTTTCTCTATTCCTACTTCATGGTATACTAGTCTTCTTTCATGGATGCAATGTCTTCTGTAAACTTCTAACATAATAAATAAAAGTTTTGATAATAATAATAAAAAAAAACTTAACAGTAAGAAAAAAGTCCAATTTAAAAATGGGTAAAAGATTTGAACAGACATGCCACCCAAGAAAACATAGATGGCAAGTATGCAAGACATATGATGTCATTAAGGTACTGAATTTAAAACTATGAGATATCTTAATACACTTATTAGAATGCATAAAAGCAAAATATTAGTGACTTATACAACATTCTTCTGAGCATTTGGACCAGTAAATTCTCATTCATTGCTGGTAGGAACACAAATGGTGCAGATACTTCGTAAGTCTCACTCTTACAAAAATAAACACAGCCCTAGCACATCCTCCAACTATTTACCCAAATAAGCAGAAAATATGTTTACAAAAAAACTCAGAAACAAGTATGTATAGAAGCTTTATTTATTTATTTAAAAAATATTTATTTATGCATACAGAACTGGGGTACAGGCCAGAGGTGCAGGAGTGGTGAGAGGTGTCACCTGAGACAGAGTGGGGAGCAGAACAGGCAAATTGAAGCACACTGCTGAGAAGAGCAACAGGTGGGTCAGGAGAGGTCTGCTATGCATGTGGGTTACCTCAGGGGCAGGGATTGAACTCATGCTGAGTTGACTTTTAGCTTCTCAGTGCTGTGCTTTAACCCACTGTGCCACCAGGGAGGGCCCCAGCTTTATTTTTATCTATCTCAAACTAGAAGCAATCAAGAGCCTCTCTAGTGGAGAATGGTTAAACAATAGTGACACGTGTAAACAATGGAATATTATTCAGTGTTTAAAAGAGGTCAAAGAGAGACATGGAGGTATGTGAAATGCATACTGCTAAGTATATAAAATTTTCATCTGAGAAGTCTACACTCTATTGATTACAATTACATATTTTGAAAATCTATGGAGAAAATAATATATTAATGTGACACAAGCTATGCAACGTCTATCGTCTGACAGATTCTGGGTAGATCGGGATAAGCTGAAAAATCAGACTTTCCACTGCTAACTTATGTTATGACCTCCCTTTTTTGTATAATCATAATATCAAAATATTCTGAGGAACATTCAGTTTACAACTGGATTGTCTTAGCCACACAGGCGGCTGTCTGGTTCAGGCAAGCTGTCCCAGGAGGAGAAATTCCTCTGTCAGAAGACAGAAGGCAAGCCCCAGGAGAGATAAGACCCCAGGACATAAAAACTCCTGGGAAGCTTCCTTGGTTTCTTTAAATAAAAAAGCTCCCAGGGTATAAGTACTCATGAACAAATTTTAACCTTGACTACACAGATGTTGTTTGATATACAACTGTACACTTTCTCTTAATTTACTCCTTTTAAAACAAGCACTAACTACTCTCTGCTAGCCTTAAATTAGCCATTAGCTTTTCTTTAGACAATCACTGATAACACTGCTAACACAATTCATTACTACCCCAAGACCCCTAACAACCTTTTGCTAATAAGCTCACCCTTTCCCAGACCCCTCTTCCTTTGAGTGATAACTAAACAGCTATACACATGACAATTATCACAAAAACATATAGCATACCATAAATTGTTAAAAGAAGAATGCTTTTCCCCCTTGTCCTTGAGAATGGTTTATGGTGATATCTCATTAACTCACCCTATGCACTATTACAATTAACTACTTGCTACACAGTATAAATAAAGACCTGCTGAAGGAATGGCAGGAAGACTTGCACCCTATCCTGACTCCTGTGTCTTCCTCGTGCCTGCTCCTCTCTCCCCTTTCGGAATCTCTGCTCACTGACGCCTTCCCATCTTAGGGTCCTGCCTGTGTGCCTGCAGACACCTCAAAAGTTGGAGCTGGTCTCCAACATTAATGGATGCAGTAACTTGAGGGGACAGTGAACTTTAGGTGAGTAGGGATAAATGGGTGAAGCACAGGCAATTTTCTGGGTAATGAATCTAATTTGTGTGATACTGTAATGGTGGTCATAACATTTTGATTTATGAAGTCACTGAACTGTACAACATAGAGAATACGTTCTAATGTGAACTACAGACTTCAGTTAATAAAGGTGGTCTGTTATTTTGTATAAGAGTTAAGTTCATGGGTTTTGAGGTTTGACTCTCTGCTGGCACAAAAGGAAATGGGACATAAGTCCTGTTAACTTGCTTGCCTGCGGTGAGTTGGGCAAGAAAAATAACTGGGTTCTATTCACCATTAATATGGTGTTTCTTGTTAAAAGTCACTCTTGATTGTTGATTGAATTATGATACATCTCATTTAAATGAATTCAAATATGAGTTTAAAAAGCCACATGAAAAGCACTGGCGACATATTTAAAATGGGCAAGCTTTAAAAGAGCATTCAAGGGCCCTCCCTAGTGGCGCAGTGGGTTAAAGCACAGCAGTAAGAAGCTACAGCCACGTCAGCATGAGTTTTATCTCCACCCCGGAGGTGACCCACATGGCCCAGCATCTCCTGATCCGCCCGCTGCTCTCCTCAGCAGCGTACCTTGTCAGTCAGCCTGATCTGCTCTCCACTCTGTCCCTGGTGAATCCTCTCACCGCCCCTGCATCTCTGGGCTGTACCCCAGTTCTGTATGCATAATCTTTAAAAAAATTGCATTCAAATTCAAGCCAAAATATATTATAGCGTGGTATCTTCTCTGTACTTTAGTGATTATTTTGTTGTTAAATGCATATGATTGTTCATTTTTAATATCTCACAGAGGAGTTATTCATGGCAGCTGGCCAGTGTTGTCTACACATACACAGAAAGCAGCACCTGGCTTTCTCTGGCTGGCCAATAAAACCAATCAGCCATGAGGTCCAGGGAGTTTGTCTTATGGAAAAGATCTAAAATATCAGTCATCTGCTGCATGTATTTAGAGTAAACATAGATACTTGTTGATTGGCATAATTGATATGAGTTTGAATGACATGTCTAATGCCAGCAAATGTGACTGCAATTAGGAAAATAGCACATTCATTTGAGATGAGTCAGAGGACTTTGGAGGAGTATCCAAAATTAAATATTGGTACTTAGGGTACACAGGATAGGAGTGTTGGGTAGCCAGTAGAGACAGGGTTACAAGCAAGCAAGAAAATGCTTGTGGGAATGACCATCTTGACAGATCTGGTGTGGGAAGTGCCACTAAGTCTGATGATCACAACAAAGAAATGGTCACTAAAGGACCCAGGGTTGAGTCTGAAGTGTGTAACAGGAGGAGGAGCCATTCGGAAGGTAAGATAATGTATCAGTTTGTATTGTTATCATTCTGGCATTGAGGGCAGTACCCTGGGTTCACAAGAGGTATAATTCCATTGTATGCCTTTCCCAAGAGTTCAGTGTTTGTGTATTTTGAAGTAGTGAATTGACTATACCAGCTGTGTCGTGCATTCTGGTTTCAGAAGCGGCATGTCTGGTGGCACAGGTAACATGCCTGTATAAACATCTACTAAGAGAAAAACATAATGAATAGTTGGTACTGAGGGGTAAGGGGCCCTATATAGCATAGCTGCCACCAGTTGTATTGTCCTGGGAATCACATTTATGGGTTGAGGGGTCAACTCAACCCATAACTGTTTATCATTCATGGCTCTGTGTTGGTCTCTACGTTTTCCAGAATATAAATAGAACACCATGCTGCCATACATCCTGCTTGCAAAATTTTATGCCATATTTGTAAAACTGCACAATGTACAAACATTGCAGTATCTTCTGAGTATAAAAATTTTGATGCTTAGCAGAGCATAGTTGCACACATCAGGTTTTTGAAATGGTGAGATTCCATTATAAGCAGTATGAGTTGGGGGGGGACTGTTTTCCTTAAGCTCAACCTCATTTGTAAGATGGGAGGGGCATAACTAAGGCTAGTAAACAGAGTAATATATACCTTGTAAAGAAAATCTGAGCACTAAAAAATGGAGGAAAATTGGATTTCCTTTGCTTTCTCATAAAACACCAAGCTGTTGTTATGCTGCCCCTCTTCTATAATAATATGAAATTCTATTTGTGAACAGAAAATAGGCTTTTATCTTTATTCACCAATGAAATAAAACTCTCCTTATAAAAGACATGTTTTGCCATTTTTTAATTAAAAAGTTTATTTTTACATCATTTTGCACATTTTTTTTATCTCAATTGTAATCCCCACGGGTTTCCCATCACCAAATCACCCCTGTGCCACCACCATAGT